AAAGAAAAAACAATGAAAATCAAAGGGTTACTTCTGTGTGACTTATTCTATTATGCTTATCCATGTGTTTATTTTAAGGCAAGTACCGTGCTATTTTGATTACTGTGGATTTTAAATAAGTTTTGAAATTAGGAAGTATGAGACCTCCACATTGATTTTTTTTTTTTTCCCCAGATTGCTTTGGCTATTTGGGGCTCTTTTGATTTCCATATGAATTTCAGGACCAGTTTTTCTGTTTCTGCAAAAAAGCCTAGTGAATTTTGATTGGAATTATATTGAATTTGTAAATAGCTTTGGGGAGTTTGGCCATCTTAACAACATTTGGGGAGTTTTCCAACCTGTGAACATGGATGCCTTTCCATTTATTTGAGTCTTCTTTAATTTCTTTCAGCAATGTTTTGTAGCTTTCAGTGTATAAATCTTTCACTTCCATGGCTAAGTTTATTTGTAGGCATTTTATTCTTTTTGCTGCTGTTGAAAATGGAATTATTGTGTAAATTTCCTTTTGGATTGTTTATTGCCGGTTTACAGAAATACCACTGATTTTCTGTTGTTGTTGATTTTGTATTCTGCAACTTTGCTGAATATTTTATTAGCTCTAATAGTTTTTTGTGTGTATTATCTAGGATATTCTATATATAAGATTATATCATCTACAAATAGATATTGTTTTATTTCTTCCTTTCCGATTTGGATGACTTATTCATGTTCTTGCCTCATTGCTCTGGCTATAACTTGCAGTACTTTGTTGAATAGAAGTGGCAAAACATGGTTATCTTTTTCGTTTTTCTACTCTTAGTGGGAACACTTTTAGTTTTTCATCAGCTACGATGATTGCTGTGGGTTGTTTATAAGTGCCTTTATAGTCTATAAGAAGTTCCTTTTTAACCCTAGTTTTCTGAGGGTTTTTATTGTGAGGGTGTTTTGGATTGTGACAAAGCATTTTTCTGCACCAGTTGAGATGATCACACTTTTTATCCCATGGCCTGAATTCCTCACCACTAGGCCCAGCTACCTCTCCCTTTCTCTATGAATTATTTAATTTTATAGCACACTTTTAGCACTTATACCATAAAAATCTTTAAAAGATATATATAAATATACATTTTGAGACAGAGTTTTCCTCTGTTGCCCAGGCTGGAGTGCATCGTGCAGTGAAACGATCTTGCCTACTGCAATCTCCAACTCCTGGATTCAAGCAATTCTCATTCCTCATCCTCCTGAGTAGCTGGGATTACAGGTGTGTCACCACAGTCTGGCTAATTTTTGTATTTTTAGTAGAGATGGGGTCTCACTGTGTTGGACAGGCTTGCCTTAAATTCCTGGCCTCAACCTCCTGGCCTCAAGTGATCCGCCTGGCTAGGCCTCCCAAAGTGCTGGGATTACAGGCGTCAGCCATCACACCTGACCCAAAAATCTTATTTTCTTTAAGAGCCATTAAAATTATGATTTCTAGAAGTTGTATGTTATTTCCTCATTGGAATGTTACATAATTTATTTGATACCTTTGTGATATTTCAAAGATTTCATTACTCTATCTTTATTTCTTTAGGAACGAAGTCCCTAGAACTGGGACATAGCCTATGAATATTTTTAAGTTATCATATCATATATATATGTGTGTGTCTGTGTGTGCATGTGTGTGTAATTTTCGACTAATTTTTAAAAATGTGGACTTCTACCAGCTTGATGTCTATTTAATAAAAGTAGTTGATGTGTTCTGAGCTTGCTGCTCTACAACTCCAGGACCTCTGAGTTAGTTTGCTTTCTATTCATTTAAGTTCTTCAATCTTTATTGCTACTGAGCAGACCACCTCCTTCCTTCCTTTTAAATTTTTGTTATAATTCTTGTTCCTCAGTCTAACCACTTTCCATACACATTCTGGTCTTGTTTGTTTTGTTCATTTGGGCTTATGAATTAATGACTAAGCCATTGGAGCCAAATGCAGGAAATGCCAACAAATTACCAGTAAAAGTATTAACACAAATGTGCATTATTACTGTTTTTCATTTAGCTTGGAAAAAAGGAATCTGTGGTGTGGTCTGTTTGTTTTTCAGTTATACTGTCTTTCTTTCTTTCTTTCTTTCTCTTTCTTTCTCTCTCTCTCACTCTCTCTCTCTCTTTCTTTCTCTCTTTCTTTCTTTCTTTCTTTAAATTATATTTTAAGTTCTGGGATGCATGTGCAGAACCTGCAGGTTTGTTATATAGGTATACACTTGCCACGGTGGTTTGCTGCACCCATCAACCCGTCATCTACATTAGGTATTTTTCCTAATGCTCTCTCTTCCCTAGCCCCCGACCCCCTGACAGACCCCGGTGTGTGATATTCCCCTTCCTGTGTCCATGTGCTCTCATTGTTCAACTGCCACTTATGAATGAGAAATATTGTCTTTTCTTTGTCAATATTCATTTGTTTATTCCTGTGCATGTGCTTTTAGGGCTATCTGGAAATATATGAGCATTGGGAAAAATTGAAGTCACACATAAACCTAATGTAGAAACATTAGTTTTACAGAAGAAAGAAAAGCATTTCTGCTCATATTCATTTTCGCATTTGACTGAATTTTTAAGAAATCACTTGTGCTTAAGGCAAACTTCGCACATAGGCATTTAGCAGAGAACACCCTCTTTCATTTTAATGCACACCCTCACACATTTGGCATCATCAGATAAATTTGATTTAAAGCCTGACAAAATTCTAAAAGCAAGGAAGCCGAAAAAAGCTCGAAGTCAGAATAAAGATAAATGAAGATAATCATTTTAAGACCTAAGAAGTTGCAGCTGGTTTAGCTTTCCTGCGCGTCCACGAGACGCAGAAGGAAAACTACGATTCCCAGAGATCTTAGAACAAACACGCGCATCGCGGCCTCGAAACTTGCTCCCTTAGTCCCGCCTTCTCCCTTCGGTGATTGGATTTTACACTTCCGCGCCTCTGGAATTCTCTTCATCCATTGGTGGAGACTCAGGGTCAAATACAGAATTTACTCACGCTTGGCTTCCTTGGAGCCTAGCGGCTCTCCCCACGTCCAAGATGGCGGCAGAAGCAGCTTGTGGGAAATACAGAAGCACAGTCAGCAAAAGCAAAGACCCCTCGGGGCTGCTCATCTCTGTGATCAGGTGAGGGAGGCAGGAGGCAGGGTCTGGGGACGGGGGGCAGCGGCTCGACCTCCGCTTTGGAAGGGAGAAGGGTTAGCTGGGTCTCACCCTGCTCTCCCTCCCCTTTCCTCCTTGCCTCCCGCAGCTCCTCCCCAGGGCCCTATCCCTTCCCCAGGGCATCAGCAATTTCCTCGCCCGTCTTTTTTTCTGGGGTTAGCTATACAGGGAGGAGCCCCGCCTCAGTCTTTTCTTTAGGGGCAACACCTATTAGAGTCCCCGGCCTTTAAAGTACGCTGTTTGGGTTTGGTAGAGAAAACCAGGTGAAGGTGTGTTCCTTGATTTCCAAAATGCTTGTTTATTGTTTTACTGTAGCAGCACTCACTGAGAAAGGCGTCTTGTTTCTTGGACTTTGGGGTGGAAGGCCTTGGAGTCCGGAGACTCCTGTCAGGAGTTGCAGATTGTGTTTTCACACTCTGGATACTTTCAACCACCTGTGCGTGGCCCAGCCTCAAGTACAGGAATCTGCAATGAACTGGTAGAAGGACTGTGGATTTGAAGGCACACATCGGTTTTCGATTTTTGCTCTGCCTTTTCCTGCCTTCCCACTCTGGTCTATTTCTTAAAAGAAACAAAACCAAACCAATTTCAAATTATTCGCCATGCATTCCCCCTCTGCACCTCCCAGAAGATTGGGATGGGAGTGGAGTGGGAGTGGTGGACCTTTTAGGAGCTTTTTAAAAAGAGTCAAATATATTGAGAATGGGGGAACTCTTTCAGCACCTTGAAGATGACACAGGGACTAAAACCATCTAAATAAAATTTATTATGGCACGTTTTTTACGTTGTTGGCATTTGAATTTCAAGTCAGTTATTTATTATAAACACTCCTACTTTTCCCCGATGTATGCTAAACTTTTGTTTGCGTTCTTGGAAGGCCCCTGGAGTTTCTTGATCATCTTTTGTAAACCCAGGGCCCAACATTATCTGGTAGGTACTAAGCACTTCAATGAATGAATATATCAGACCATTAAAACAGCTTGCCACTCACTAAGACACATCTCATAGGTCTTATTTAGGGGCCTTTAAGATTATGGCCTGTTAAATCATTACTGTTAATTTCATTTTGGGCGTGAGAGAATAAATCTGTGTGGAAATGCTTAGGAGACTTGTCGGACCATACAGAGGAAGTACTGTTGTGAATCTATAGGCTCGCACACAGGTAGTGTAGATGTGTCTAGTGATACTAAAGTTCCAATTAGAATGTTTGTTGTTTCCCATCTGAATTTCCTGTGAAATTATAATACCTGGACATGAATTTATTTGGATCCTTTTTTGAACTTTTTTTTTTTCTGCCTTATCATCAACATTCATTTAAACAGTAGGTATTTAGTGCCAGTTTGTAGTGTGGTGTCTGGCACATGTTACATATTTGATATTTGTTGACTGAGTAAATGCGTGAGTTTTGCAAAGATGAAGCAGACACAGTGTTACCCTTAAGGAGAGTATAGTTTATCTGGGGGGAATAAAATATATGTAAATAAAAATGATGACAGAAGACTACAAGAGAGACATGAAATGCTGTGGAAATCCAGGAGGAGTGGCTGTTTCCAATGGAAGTGAAATGTGCCATCTCATCTGCGTACTTTTGATTCTCCAGGCTGTTCCCATTTCTTTTATGCTATTTGTGTTTTCTTCAGTGTCAGTTGAATTTACTTTGTCATATTTTTGAACACAATATGAAAACCAACCCAAAGCTTTTTTTACTAATGCTAATTCAGAACATACATTGCCTTTGGTTGACCCTTCCTTAATGTTCTCGAGGAGGAACCCCCTACTGCTCCATGGTGTGCACTGTGATTTTGTGGTTATCCGTCCATCTCTTTTGACACTTTATTAATATATGACCTTCACTTTATCACTGTGATTTAGGCTTAGGCATTTTTTACTTTGATTTCTGTTGTGCATTATTGCTTTTTTCTTTTTCTTTTTTTTTTTTTGGAGACAGAGTCTTGCTCCATCACCAGACTGGAGTGCAGTGGTGCGATCTCAGCTGACTGCATTCTCCACCTCCCGAGTTCTAGCGATTCTCCTGCATCCGCCTCCCGAGTATCTGGGATTACAGGCGTGCACCGTGACACCCAGCTAATTTTTGAATTTTTAGTAGAGATGGGGTTTCACCATGTTGGCCAGGATAGTCTCGATCTCCTGACTTTTTGATCTGCCCGTCTCAGCCTCCCAAAGTGCTGCGATTACAGGTGTGAGTTATGGCACCCAACCCTCATTTTTCTGCTTTATCCTTGACCACCTCAGATGATTGAATAACACTTTCGTTATATATTTTTTTTACGAGCATGGTGTAAGGGAATGTCTAGACCTAGTATCCTGGGCAAGTTTAGTAAGGCTTGGGATGTATCATTATATAGGACCTTAAGACCAAATACTGTTGGTGTTTGTATTTCAACATTTCTTTGAGTCACAGGGAGATTTTGGTGTTGGAGTAAGGATGTTGGTAGCTATAACTTCCTATTATTTCCTTCCTAATATGCTTTTGAACATACCCAGTGGTTTAAATTTTATAAACAGTGGTAGTGAATGAGAGGAGAGTGGTAGTATTACTTTGGTGTTTGGGATGGAGAATAGGGAGAGAGTCCTGAGGGTAATAGAACCAGGAATGTGTATTTCTTGTTAGTAAATTGCACTGTCAGTAGGAAGTTGCTGCTTGTTTTTCTGTTCAATTTGTATCCTTATGTTTCCTTTCTTGCAACATTGTATTTGTTATTCTTAATTCCTCCTATAAAACTTTGATTACCTCCTCCTATCTCTAACCTTTTTATTTCAAATTCTCCTCCAAAGACTGTAGCTTTCTTGCTTGCTTTCCACAAAAAGGAAAACCCATCTTAGGCTCACCTTTATAAGGTCTGAGCATTCCTAAGATGTACCCGGTGCCTGCCAGTTCTCTTTCATGTTTCAATGGACTTATTTTGTCACAAAATAAATTACTAGTTATAGAGCCTACTATCTTTTGAAAAGTTTGATCAGTTTGTCTTTTTTTAAAAAATCTTTTTCTATCACGGAGTAGCTTTTCTTTTTTGAATAGTGAATGTTAAAAACGCTCCTTTAATTCTCTTGCTCACATGTGTAAAAATGTCATTTTTACTATATTATGTATTATAAAATTTTGTATTTTTTCAATGCTTTTCCTAATAGTTGGAGTAGCATTTATTGTTACAGTCATTTTTAATATTGTATTTTAACACTACAGGTGGATAAGTGTTTGACTTAAGGACAGAGTAGGTATAGACGTGGGGAATATCCAAATTCATCGCTATTTCCAGCCTGTGTACTAACTAATTAATACTTTGCTAGTATAAAGTATTTTGGTAGTATAAAGTATTTAAACTTTAAAGCATTTAAAAACCAAAAATTAAGATGTAGTGTAGTTGTAATGCAAGTATTATATGGTTTTTTAATTGACTTGAGACTCAAATAAAAATTCTTAATTGTTCAAGAATATGGAATAAAAGTATTTTAGGACAGCCAGATGTTTCAAAGGGTAGACTTCCAGGGCTTTACGGAAGAGGTCCTCAGGCCTGTGAGGTGGGGCTTTGGTGAGGGGACAGATAGTGCTCGGGAGTCAGAGGCTATGGTCAACTGCAGCTTTTGGTTTTAAGTCTTACCACTGGCCCTTTAAAATGGAACTAATTGGGTGGACAGAATCCCGATTACCTGCTGATGTATGATGTACGATTTGGACTGTTTTACACACACACATACACACACACCCCTACTTTTCAGTTGACCTGCTGATGTACGATTTGGATATAATTTTTCTACTTTTCTGTTGATTTCCCCTGCCAACCTTTTGTTTGATGGGAAGTCAGAGGAGGCAGCCTCTCTCCATGGGAAATAAGAAAGATGGCATTTTGGAGATACTTTATTTCTGTGAGTTCTTGTCAGATTTTTAATTGGGAAATGTGTCTACCACTTACTGTTAGGTGATTTGCTTTCCAATTAAATGTTGTCTCTCTCTATAACTTGGCCTGTAATGGCCGGTTTAATTGGGAAGACAAACTTTGGTTGTGACTTCAGGAGACCTTACTGAAACTTGGAGCAGAGCTTTTGAAGACACATTCTGGTTACAGATGTCAAGGAAGTTTGAAGGCAGTGGAAGACTCACGTTTTCATCAACTTTTATGTCTTCACAGAAGTTGAAATTTCAAAAACGTAGAAAATCCTTTATTGTAGACACCTGTTAAATTTCCTTCCTCCAAGAGTATTTTGGTCAGCTCTGTGTTTAATTCAAAGTAAACTTTGTTGAAGGGGTCCAGGCTTTGATCGGAGCTTTGAACAAACAGCTTTGAGGTTCATGACACAGTTTGTGGCAGGGAAGGAAAGTGGTGACTCTGTTTTGAGCTGAGTCCTGGAAGTTGGGTTAGGTGTTAATGCTTTTTTCCAGCACCATCTCTTTTCATTTGAGCCCATCACAAAATGGTTTTTTGGTTTCTAGCTCTCTTTGCACCCTGGTACGTCCTGGCCTTACCGATGCTGTGTTGTTGGAAAATTACTACTAGAATACCCAGAAACAATGCTGTCAGGGAGTCCTGGGATGTCCGGCAGTGTATGTGAATGTAAGGGTCCAAAAAATTCCCATATTCTGGCTAAACGTGCGTATTAGCATCTTGTGGACCCACGTTTTAGTATACCTCGTGTAATTGTTAACACCGGGATTTCTTGAAGGCTTTGAGGCCCTTTGTTTTGATGGTGGGTGAAGTGGTCAGGTTTTTTCAAGCCATTACTTGTAGATAGGTGTGGTCATAGCCTGTGGTGAGAAGTGCTGTGGTGGTATGTTGTAGTTGAAACTTGCTGTATTACCTGTATAACCCTAGACCAGTTACTTAAAACCACCGTCTTAGTTTCCTCAGAGTGGTTGGAAAACGGGCTAGTAATACGACCTGTGGTTTTTTGGAACATCTCATGAGGTAAGAGTATATAAAAGTGCCTAACACAGTTTGGCACACAGT